GTCGCAGGTCGATGATAGACTTTGTAGTCGTATCATCTGACCTGTGGCCGTATGTTTTGGACACCCGAGTGAAGAGAGGAGCGGAGCTGTCAATTGATCACCACCTGGTGGTGAGTTGGATCAGATGGCAGGGGAAGATGCCGCGTAGACCTGGCAGACCCAAACATATAGTGAGGGTCTGCCGGGAATGCTTGGCAGAAGAACCTGTTAAGACGGTCTTCAACTCCCACCTCCGGCAGAGCTTTGACCGCATCCCGAGAGCAGTGGGGGACATTGACTCCGAGTGAGCCTTGTTCCACTCTGCGATTGTTGAGGCAGCTGTTGCTAGCTGTGGTCCCAAGTAGGGATGGGTACCTTTGACATATGAATCGATCCGGTACTAATTCCCAGTACCTACGAATCGATGCCGGTACTTAACGGTACCAATTTTCGATACTTTTGAGTGTTTATTATTTTAATTCTCTTTTATAATTAAATATATATTTTTCTTAATATATAACCATATTTGATAAATATCACGATAAATAACGTTCAAATGTTTGTATTAACATCATCCTTGTAGTTTTATAAGCTGATAATTAAACTGAAGCAAACATCTTTACTGTGAACTAAATTTACTGTGTATCTTCATTTGATTTTTCCTACTGGGAAGTTAGAATTTCCTAGGAGAAAGCGAACGCACCATTAGCTGATAACAACGGTGGCAATGGAAGCTAACATATCAAGCTAACGTTATCTTTAACAGTTTATTTAACTGCTGGAGCAGATTAAAACGATGATGCCTCACACTTAGATCGATGTCGCTGGTTTCATCTTCACCCAATCACCCGTCGCATTTAGTGAAGTGAAGCCAAACTTTAGAGCGCGTTCAAGTTCTAGTTGGAAATTCGGAGTTCCGAGGAGAAAGCGAACGCACCATTAGCGAAACGGAAGCTAACATATCAAGGTAACGTTATCAAAAACATTTTATTTACCTACCGGAGCAGATTAAGATGAGGATGTCTCACTTAGATCGTTGTCTATCGCTGGTTTCATCATCACCCAGTTACCCATCACATTTAGTGAAGTGGACCCAAGCGTTAGCGTGTGTTCTTTCTACCATGCTGCTCTGTTTACAACACGCTCGCAGCGACTGACGACATAACGCTCTTGCGCATGCGCAGCTGTCTTGGTAAGTTCTCGTTATTAAGGACGGGTACCGAAACGAGGCACCGTTTGAAACAACGTGAATTGGTGCTCAGTCAGTACTATGGAATTCGGTCGGTACCTTAAAAAGTACCGAATTCGGTACCCATCACTAGTCCCAAGGTGGCCGGTCCCAGTTGTGGTGGCAACCCCCGTACCCGCTGGTGGACACCAGAGGTTCGGGAGCCGTCAGGCTGAAGGAGGAGGCCTACAGGGCGAGGCTGGTCTGTGGGTCTCCGGAGGCAGCAGACAGGTACCGGATAGCCAAGCGGGGTGCAGCAGTGGCAGTTGCCGAGGCAAAATCTCAGGCGTGGGAGGAGTTTGGTGAGGCCATGGAGAAAGACCATCGATCGGCTCCAAAGAGGTTCTGGCAAACTGTCCGGCGCCTCAGGAGAGGAAGGCAGCAACTCGCTCACACTGTTTACAGTGGGGATGGGGAGCTGCTGACGGCAATTGAGGCTATAGTCGGATGGTGGAAGGAATACTTTGAGGAGCTCCTCAATCCCACCTGTGCGCATTCCCAAGAGGAACCAGAGCCGGGAGACCTGGGGATGGAGTGTCCAATCTCGGGGGCAGAAGTTGCTGAGGTAGTCAAACAACTACACAGCGGCGGAGCCCCGGGGGCGGATGAGGTTCGTCCTGGGTATCTCAAGGCTATGGATGTTGTAGGGCTGTCATGGTTGACACGTCTATGCAACATTGCGTGGTCATCGGGGGCAGTTCCTATGGAGTGGCAGACCGGGGTGGTGGTCCCCATCTTTAAAAAGGGTGACCTGAGGGTGTGTTCCAACTATAGGGGGATCACACTACTCAGCCTCCCTGGAAAGGTCTACTCCAAGGTACTGGAGAGGAGGGTCCGATCGATAGTTGAATCTCAGATTGAGGAGGAGCAATGTGGTTTTCGTCCTGGCCATGGAACTGTGGACCAGCTCTATACCCTGGCAAGGGTGATGGAGGGGGCATGGGAGTTGGCCCAACCAATCCACATGTGTTTTGTGGATTTGGAGAAGGCTTATGACCGTGTCCCCAGGAGCACCCTGTGGGGGATGCTCCAGGAGTATGGGGTGGGTGGCTTTCTGTTAAGGGCCATTCAGTCCCTTTACCAGCGGAGCGTGAGTTTGGTCCGCATAGCCGGTAGTAAGTCGGACCTGTTCCCGGCGAGGGTTGGAATCCGCCAGGGCTGCCCTTTGTCACTGGTTCTGTTCATTACCTTTATGGACAGAATTTCTAGACGCAGCCGTGGTGTGGAGTGTGTCGAGTTTGGTGGCAGGAGAATCTCGTCTCTGCTTTTTGTGGATGATGTGGTCCTCCTAGCTTCATCCAGTTCTGACCTTCAGCTCTTGCTGGGTAGGTTCACGGCAGAGTGTGAAGCGGCTGGGATGAGGATCAGCACCTCCAAATCTGAGTCCATGGTTCTCGACCGGAAAAGGGTGGCTTGCCAACTCTGGGTCGGGGGAGAGGTCCTACCTCAAGTGGAGGAGTTTAAGTAGCTCGGGGTCTTGTTCACGAGTGAGGGTGGGAGGGATCGGGAGATCGACAGACGAATTGGTTCAGTGTCTGCAGTGATGCGGAAGCTGAGCCGATCTGTCGTGGTGAAGAGGGAGCTGAGCCAGAAAGCCAGGCTCTCGATTTACCGGTCAATCTACGTCCCAATCCTCACCTATGGTCATGAGCTCTGGGTAATGACCGAAAGAACAAGATCGCGGATACAAGCGGCCGAAATGAGTTTCCTCCATAGGGTGGCCGGGCTCAGCCTTAGAGATAGGGTGAGGAGCTCGGACATCCGGGAGGGACTCGGAATAGAACTGCTGCTCCTCTGGATCGAAAGGAGCCAGTTGAGGTGGTTTGGGCGTCTGGTCAGGATGCCTCCTGGACGCCTCCCCGGGGAGGTGTTTCGGGCATGTCCTGCCGGCAGGAGGCCCCCTGGTCGACCCAGGACACGTTGGAGAGGTTACATCTCCAATCTTGTCCGGGAACGCCTTGGGGTCCTGCCAGAGGAGCTGGTAGAGAAGGCCGGGGAGAGGACGGTCTGGAGCTCCCTAGTTGGGATGCTGCCCCCGCGACCCGGACCCGGATAAGTGGAGGAAGACGACGACGATGTCATATATTCTACTTGAATTCAACAGCAAAAGCTTTAATGCTGATTCTCAGTTCCTCTCCAGTTACCACAGCTTAACTCAGGCTGGACCTTCTACTGTGGCTCTGAGTAACTTTAGCTACAGTTAAACCACCAACTGATTTTATAAATATAGACAGGCCCACCATAAAAAAATGAAGGTTTAAACAGCTTTTTAAAGTTTTCACTGAATATTAGTGCTGACTTTCCACAACAGAATGATAATAAAAGTACCAGTAACATATTTTGATTTTTTTATGTTTATTTTCCACCAATAACATCTCATTGAAAACATATCCATAATCTTTTGCAAGTTTTGCTTCTTAATTTTGTATTTCTTATATTAGTAGGGAAGACGTGCCTAAAGGGGTTTAGCTTGTATGTATCTGAAACAACAACCGCAGCACATTGTCAGAATATTCTTTAGGTTACTGAAAAAGGTGTTTTTGACCAACACTTGATGAACTCAACTCCCACCAAAAAGAACACAAGCCTCTGGAAAACATCAATTAAGGCTGAAATGATAAATGATAAATGACCCGCACTTGTATAGCACCTCTCAGAGTAAGGACTCCAAAGCGTTTTACACTACAGTGTATCATTCATCCATTCACACACACATTCACACACTGATGGTGATGAGTTACGATGTAGCCACAGCTGCTCTGGGGCGCAATGACAGAGTACAGGCGCCATCGGTCCCTCCGACCACCACCAGCAGGCAAGCTGGGTTAAGTGTCTTGCCAAAGGACACAACAGCAGAATTCTCTGTCCGGAGCCAGGATCGAACCTGCAACCTTCCGATTACTGGACAACCCGCTCAACCTGTTCAGCTACTGCTGAAACTGAAAGGAGACAAACCTGCTAAAGTTCTTGACAGAAATCTGTGGTATTTGGAGGGAATTTTGATGATTTTATAAACTTTAAGCTCCAGCCACAGCGAGATGTTGAAGCAACTGTAATAGCGGCACTGTGATACCAGCTACCGCAGCATGTTTTTGCCTAGCTGTCTCCGTGACTGTGATTGGTCAAATAACGACTCGTGACCCACTAACAAAGATGGTTTGTGAAGAGGATGAACACTCCTTTTTCTGAAACTGATTCTTATAAAAAGTAACTGAAACCTGACAAAGACTCACATTCCCTCAAACAAAAACTCTGATTCACGTGAACGTATTTGGTTTAATAAACGTCAATTTTCGCTGAAAAGCATCAAGTTTTCACGTATGAGACAAACGTATTTTAAATTCACGTCAATATGAACCAAATTTAAGACTTTACTAAATCGATTTAAGACTTTTTTAAGACATTTAAGGGTCTTAATTTTCCTTTCATCAAATTCAAGACTTAAGACTTTTTAATACCCTGCAGATACCCTTGGTGTGCACATTTAGCGAAAGCGAAGCTTCAAATCAGTAAAAATTTGAGGAATTTAATTAATCGAACCATTCAAAGATCTATTTCAGCCTTAACTCTCACTTTAGTAAACAAGCTTTCAGGAGACTGAAGGAAAAACTACTGTTTTGTCAAGCAAGGAGAAAAATGAAATTTTTTATAAGCTTCCACCTAGAAATCATTTGTACTCAGAATGGGTTAATTATAGTTTTATATTTATATGACCCATGGACATCGTCTTTAACAATACAGAATGAGATTTTTTTTAATGGCGCAGATACTTGATAAATGTGGTGACTAATACCTGATCTCAGACTTCAGCAGAGTGTCCATTGAGAAACTCGTCTAGGATTAGTAGGCATGAAGAGGCTCCTGGTCAAGATATTCCAATTCAGAGAAACGAGCCCTCCAAAGTAATGCCACACCTGACAAAAAGAAAAATAATGTTGTAATAAGATGAGTCATCTAAAGATAAAAGCTTCAAGCTGCTTCCTGAAGATTACTGAACTTTTGGCAATTAGTTTGTAAAAGTCTAGTTGCCAGTGAGACAATAACTAAATGTTCTGCATCGTGCAAATATCATATGCTGTGTGTACAAATATAGGCAAAGCAGTGCTACAGATGTGGACAAAAATGTTGGTACCCTTTGGTCAATATAAAAAAAAAAATCACAATAGTCATAGACATAACTTCAATCTGACAAATGTAATAATAAATAAAAATTCTATGAAATTTAACCAGTGAAGTTCATATGCGAAAAACCTATAAAAATTTCTGGTAACCTTAGCTAATTTCTGGACAACTGTCATTTCCTCTATTTAAAGAGCAAGTCACATCAAAATCTACTTTTTTTGCTGATAACAAGTATAAATTTAAGCAATATCACAAGAGAGGAAGTGCACTGTTGCTGAATATCAGCACTGGTGTGATTCGGTCGTAGGCACGAGGCCGCAGAGAACATGAACATGAGTACATCCTCACACACCTGTAACCTACCAGCTCACCTGGCAGAATTAATAATCTGGTGGCCATGGCTTTCCTTTTTCTTTTATTGAAACATACATTTTTGTTTTCTACAGATCTTTGGTAATCTCTCTCTCCTTGAAGACAACACCACATCTCCTGTTCCCGGAAAGCCTTCGGCCATCCTTCGATGACTTGAGAACCTCCATCCAGCTGTCTCCCTAAAATTATTATAATAAATATTGTGTTTGACAAGTTCTTTGTGCTGCCAAAATTTCTCATTTTAATTCCAGTTTTGTTTATATTTTAATGGATATTTATAAATCACATTTATTAAATTATCATCACCTTGATGCACGTGTAACTAGCTCTAATGTGATGAGTTAAATTAGCACTTCACTGTTAAAAGCTCATTTTTAATTCAAGTGTGTGTTTAAATATTTATGGGCATGAACAAAAACAAGAAATATATTAAGTGAGATTTATTTAATTAATAAAACAAAATATTAATAACTGTTTAGAGGAGGGAGAAATTCTTCAAAGGCACATTCTTCTGGAAGGTCCTGATGACAGCACAAGAGAAGACCCAGCTGCTGACACCAAAGAATCACCTACGATCAAGAGAACAGATGGCATCAGTAAATAATGAAATCAGGGCAATTTTAGTGGGATATTTGTGACTGCATAACACAAATGAACACAATACAATAATTTTTCTCATGGGATATTTTTATTTATAACTCCGGAGTTTCTCTGCAGCAGACAGTAACTTTAGCTCAGGGTAGGTGGCCGTGTCCTAGGGAGCTGGGGCCTCATTCATTTTCCTCATTGCTTACACACAAAACGGGGTCGGAAAACTGTGTAAGCTACTTTCCATGCAAACTTTAAGATTTATAAAAAAAAAAACGTAGCAGGAAAATGTGCGCAACTTTAAGTTGACTAAGGACCTGGCTCATGCACATTTTGGACACGGAGAGCACCTGCAAGCAACATTCTCACACCCTGGTCGGTGTGACCAAGTGTTTGTTTCGGACGTGTTGGGAGCCCCTGCGCGACAGGAGGCGTTGCGCTGTGCCAGAGCGTCATTTTCCGACACCCGCGGTAAAACGGAGATTTGACCGAATTGTTTACCCTCTTGCTATTTAACCTTCCCCTCACCCACACCCTAACCTTAATCAGCCTGTGCATGCAAAGCTTTGCTTCGCATTTTACTGTTCCTCTCAAACACGTTTAATGGAAAATTTAGACTGACATACAGGGTTATGGTTAGGATAGGGGTGAGGGGACAGGTTAGAGGTGAAATGTCGGTGAAATCTCTGTTTTACCATGGGTGTCGGAAAATGACGCTCTAGCACAGCCCAACGCCTCCTGTCGCGCAGGGGCTCCCAACACGTCCGAAACAAACACTTGGTCACACCGCGTCATTTTTCAACGCTTAGGGTGTGAAAATGAGTTGGCTGCTGAGAAAGATAAAATTATGAATTCCAGCAGCATTATCACTTGTACCACTTCGTGAGCACACAGAATATGCTTCGTGCATATTCGTTTTGCAAAACCACTTCTTTTCATTTTTCCACCTCACCCTCAAGTACCTCAATTTCTGCTTCGGTGAAATTGATCTTCCTTGATCTGTGGTCACCATCGTTAATGGTGGAGCGCTGCAACGAGCCGGCTTATGTATATGCATGAGATCCACAAGGCACTTTGCATTGTCCATTTATGGCAGAAAGTGGGCGTGTTGAGGGCAGGATGTGATCAAAAAATAGCTGAGCACATTCCCAGAAAGTTTCTGATTTATAAAGAGGAGATTGCATGAAGCTGTGCGTACTCCATGTTTTATAGGTCACAAACCTACTTGGCACAAGTACATTTTTTTGGCTGAGCTTAAGTACAGTTTTAGTAAGGATTCCACGCAATGTTTTATAAATGAGACCCCTGATATCCAGCACGTTTCAGTCGACTCCCTGCTTTTAACATGTTAGAGTAGCTGTTCAGCAGCTCAGCAATTTGCTGCTGATTAAAATCAGGTGTGTTGAAGCAGATAATCCTCTAAGACATGCTGGATAACAGTTCTCTAGGGCCGTGGAGCCAAACCCTGCAGCTAATCTCATTAGATTCTATAGCATTCTATGGCTAATGACTACTTACCATTCAAAGCTGGTCCTGCTGGGTCGGCTCTGGTGGTTTCAGGCAACCCAGGCTCAAAACAATGAGGCTCAGGGACACTTGTGTCCTCCAAATAGACTTGGTCCCTTTCTTCTCAGTATTGCGGGTAAGGAAGGGGAGAATTGTCCTCCACTTCAAATGACTGCTCAGAGTCAAAGTAGCTAGCTTTGCGCCGTTACCCATCCGTCTTTGTCACTGTCGCAGCCCCGCCCTCTCGGTCCATCAGGCAAACCTACTAAAGTTGCACTTTCGATTTTGATATTTAGGTGAAGGACCCTAAGGCTAGGGATGCACCGATCAGGTTTTTTGCTGCCGATCACCGATACCGATATCAAAGAATGCTGATCACCGATACCGATCACGTGGATTGGCCAGAAATTTTCTACAACATTATAATGAGTAGGGATGTGTATTTTTGAAATTCTGGTGATACGATACATATCACGATACAGGGGAGACGATACGATATATCACGATATATTGCGATATTCAGTCAGACGTTACAAGCAATTTTTTTTTTACTGAATTTATTGTAAGAATGTTCAATAAACAGTCCAAACTGATACGTAACATGTTTAACATGAGGTATCTGAACCATGATGGAGGGATTTACATTTCAGTGGTGGAAACAAAACCCGCTGCACACTGCTGCCAACTAGCGGGTGGCGATTGAATTGCGCAAAACGAAAAGAAAATACACAAATGTTTGCATGTAAATTCTTTCAGGAATTAGATACACTGCTTTTGAATATCGATGTAATAATCGCAGGAAAAAATATCACGATATATTGCCATATCGATATTTCCGATACACGGCTTTTGAATATCGATATAATATTGCTGGGAAAAATATCACGATATATTAGGGCTGCTCGATTATGGCAAAAATAATAATCACGATTTTTGTGACTGAAATTGAGATCACGATTATTTAGGACGATTTTTCAATTTATGATGATTTTATTTGTTTTTATTCAGTCATAAAATTGCTCAGGGCACAATTAGGACAAAAATAAGAAACAAGATGATCACTAAAATAACTCCTGATTCCCAGTATAAAAAGACCAATATACTTATAGCTCATAGTCTATGACCCAAGGGCTATAGACCTTGGTTTAACTCATTTAAGTCTAACCAGTACAGAACCAAATACCAATATCTTGCAAATACTGACAGCAAGAATTATACAGTGGCATTTATAACAAATAAATGCAAATAAATTGATGTTCACAAAATGTTGCATAACATTTATTGAGTCGTGTCAAGGTGCTGTAGCACCGTGTCCTCAGAGAGGTTAGTTATTAGTTATCAGCGTGAGGAACTTATTTCTACCTTATTTATAAACTATTTATTTACAAGTCCATCAGTTAATGTAATAATTGTCCCAACCACAGCTGCACCCCCCACCCCCCAACCCGGTCTCACAGCAATCGGGCAAGCTGCACGTGTGTTTAGCGCGCTGCACGCGCACATTTAGCTGTTTTTAGCTGCTCAGGAGTCCGCAGGTGCGGTGTGTGTGTCACTCACTCTGGTTAATCCAACAAGGAGCCGGCTCCGAGAGCTGTCTTTAGCGACCGACACATCACTACATCATTCCCTTTCCTAATGTTGTGAAGAACGGTCCGGAGCTCAGGCGGAGTGTTTAGCTAACCTGCAGGAAATGTCGACGACCGTTATCCAGAAAGTAGCTAAGGGTTACCAGAGATGTTTCTGAGATGTTCGCTAGGTACTTTTAGGATTAAAAAGTCAAGAAGGGGGTCTGAAAAGCTGCTAGAAATAGCGTCAAAGTCGCTAAGTTGGCAACACTATGGAGGAGCGCTTCATTTGCAACTCAGGGCAGCGCAAGCGGGAGGAGCAAATAATCGGCTTGTTTTGTTTTTATAATCGTTCAAAACTCAGATCGTAATCGTGATTAAAATTCGATTAATTGAGCAGCCCTACGATATATTGCCATATCTATATTTTCTTTCATCCCTAATAATGAGTGCTACAAACTACATAATCTGGGAATAAAGGAAATGTAACCTAATCTAAAATGGTCTGTATTAGGGTTGTCACGGTGTGAAAATTTTACCTCACGGTTATTGTGACCAAAATTACCACGGTTTTCGGTATTATTGCGGTATTTTTTTTAAACGTGCTACATTTTCACACAATTAAATAAACCCTGTATGTCAGGAAATATTGTCCTCAGTTTGTGTCTAAATTTAGCCTAAAATGTGTTATTTTGTAATTATGTTGTTTATTTGTTTACATTTTTCCCTTTAGTCTTAAAAATACTAATATTTGCCCATAACTTCTTATTTTTTGTCTGTTTGATGTCATCATTTTAAAAATATTAGATTAGATGATACTCAGTACTCAAGTAGCCTTCTAATCAGATACTTTTTTTACCCTTACTTGAGTAATAAACCCTATATCAGGAAAATATTGTCCTCGGTTTGTGTCCTTCCAGTGAGCTTTGCAGATGTGGGAAAATGTCATCAGGCAGTAATCATTGTTAAATTCATAATTATTCTCGGAGTGAGACCAACTCTTATCTGCCCCTGGGAGCCCCGTAATGCATAGCGTCATTTCAACATGGGGATGTCCGCGACACGGTTTATATGCAGGTAGCGGCGCTGCGGCTGCTTTCTATAGCGACTCGTTGCGTTCTCCCTCAATCCAAATCCTTGGATCACGCATTTGAGCTAAAACGCTAACGTTAGCTTGCCTTGCATTGACTGTAGAGTTGTGGGTGATTGTCATGCAGATGTGTCATGAGATTTGAAGCGTTGCTGCCTTTCACAGACACTTTTTCTGCACGTGCTGCAAACAGGATAGCCGTCTTCTATAAACTTTCCCTCGGCATTCTTCAAATATCCAAAAGATGCCCATACTTACGACTTTGTCGTCTTTGAGGGATAAAAAATGTCCTGAACGCTGCCGTCTCTTCCTTTGGCCATTATTTCAGCTTTAGCTTCAAGAAAGTTTTGGTTGTAAACAACAAAGTGCGCATGTGCCGCCGGCAACTTCAGCAGATGATACGGTGGCTGGTAAGGGTCACCGCGCCTACACCGCAGCCACGGTAATCCACCGAGATAATATAGTTTTTTTTTAAAACAAGACTGTTATTATTATTGTCAACTTTTTTTACCGGGGTCTACTGCTACACCGGTTACCGTGACAACCCTACCTGATCGGTCTGCTTTGATCTATTTTGAAAACTACGATCAAAACCGATAGGGGCGCTATCGGCCGATTGGGATCAAATGCCGATCCATCGGTGCATCCCTAAATTTTAAGAAACCTCCAGAGGATCCTGGCTCAGTATAAGCAGCCATCCTCCACGACTCACTGGGGATCGAGAAGACAGACAGACAGACAGACAGACAGACAGACAGACAGACAGACACACACACACACACACACACACACACACGCATTACAGTGAACATTATAATAAGCTGGGCGGACACTGTGCGACTTTTTCACTTGTAGCACTCAGCTTCAGCTCACACTGTACGACCCAGTTCTCGGATGCGACCTGACTGCTCACACTGTACGTCTGGTAGCAACACGTCGGATCTAAAAATATGCTAAAAATAGCAATTTTTACACAACACGTCAGACTTTTTTGTCTTGTTTTGCCTGTTGTCCTTCGGGAGTGCTGCAGGAGGACACACAGGGATTTATGGGGGTTGGATGAGGAAAACGAAATAAAGAAAGTAAATCTGTGTTTTGTGATCAGTTTAATTTGACATGAACACGACAAACATGCTTTCTTGACAATCTTTGTGAGTAAAAAACGTGTAGACATTAAAACGAACAGCGTGTGTTATTAGGGAAATAGCGGGCGAGCAGTGTTGATGCATGATTGCACATGCGC